GGTTGTTTAATATTAATAAGCTCACGATAAGACTATATATAAATATATGATGTACATACAGTCAAGATATATATATCTTTATATCTATTTAATCATTTCAAATATTTTCGACATTACAATGTTCAAATATTTCAAATATGTTGACACAAATCAGCTGGTGTTCATATATTTAATGTTCTCTTATCTATTGATTCGCTGAACATCTTTATAATTCTAGTCGTTTATATTTAAGTGCTCGTATTTCATTATTTAAAAGTATATCTAACAAGATGAAATATGTAATAAGACATGATATGTAATCGATTTTAAAGAGTAATTGAAAAAACAAACAAATTATAGTTTATTGTCTATACCGCAGGGGTCGTCGAATTGTTGATCCTAAAGGGTCGTCAAATATAGAAATAATAACAACTATAGTTGATTGTTGATTCTATAGGGTCGTCAAATATAGAAATAATAACAACAAAACTTTATCAAACGGTTATTAAATTGTCGATCCTAAAGGATGATCAAATACAAGAATAATAAAACAAAAACGATTCATTGTCGATGCTAAACGGTTATCAAATACAGGAACGAAACGATCTAGCATATTGTTGATGCTGGTGGGTCATCGGATACAGGAATAAATGAAAAACAATTCATTGTCGATGTTATAGAGTTATCAAATAAAGCGATGAAAAGATCTAGCATATTATTGTTGATGCTGAAGATCATCAGATACATGAATCTACACAATGGGCTAACAGTACGGTGTATGATACATTAGCTCATTTATAAAACATGGAATTCAGCTAAATAACAACACACCATTGTGTAGATACAGATTTCAGATATTCAGATATTGTGGTAGTCAAATAATACGTAATGTGTCTTCTAGGTCCACGCCGACAATCGTGCCTTGGACATTCTACACACGAGACAAGTTTCCTTAACGCTCGACTCGACTACCTCGGTCCCCGGATGATAGGTTTGCTACTAGCCAATATGAATGAGTCTTGATATTGTACACACGAGACAAGTTTCCTTAACGCTCGACTCGACTACCTCAGTTCCCGGATGATAGGTTTGCCATTATGAATGAGCCTTCCCCGGCCTACGGCTATAAGACTATGAGATCGAATCTTATATTATACCCGAAACGATATATTTCAAAAAATAAATAAATACAAGTATGTAATCACAGAAATCTAATCAGATGGCGACAGAGACCTCGAATTAATTAATTCTTGAAAGGAAAATAACATTAAAAAAAAGTACAAGTCGCCTTAAGGCAAGAAAAACTTTGATCGTCTTATATCTAGACGTGGACTACGTGATACTGTAAAATATGGATGACTATTGTAATAGAGGGTCAGTGAGGTCACAACTAATATATACAATACAGAATCAAGAGGTAAACGTTTCGCTTTCTGAACTTCCGCAATCAGTTTAAGAAATTGGGATTTAGAACAACAATCATATTAAAATACAGATCTATATTTCGTTTAGTTTTTTTATAATCTCAATGGCCTTTACTACATGAAGATCTTACTGGAAGTTCGCGTAAGGGGTCATACGACCGGCTTTTGCCCCTATGACGTCAGACATTGATTTATCAATCAACATTGACGTTTCGAGGGGTTTACCCACAGTTCCGTGCAGAGCACGCCAAGAACTCGCCGTTTCATTGACTAATTCCTCACAACAATTAGACCACGTGTTATATAACAACTCTTCCAGATCCTAGTGTTGTGAAGACAAGTAAAACGAAATTTTGAACTATAAAAAACGAAACGAAATAGGAAATTTGTTATAATCAGATTGTTAGTACAGGTGAATATCCTACATCGGCCTTCCACAGCATCGTAAATAGATCATACCAACTCAGCCCAAAATATACTGAGTTAGGATAAAAATGTTGTTTAACGTCCAATCAACATATATATAGAGAGAAATGGGGTTTAACGTCCACTCGACACAAACTAGGTCATTTCGGGACTAACACATGGTTTAATTTTATTTCAATAATTCGCTTGCGCATAGGGATCTTTAGCAGTGGGAGGAAACCGGAGGACCCGTAGAGAACCCACGAGGTTGGACAGGCGACGCCAGTTGACTCAATGACAGACTTTATGGTTCAGCGCGCACGTGCTAACCATTCAGCCACCCAACCCCCCCAATCAACATATAAGTGAATAGATCGTACACCACTGGTGAGTGGTTGACAGAAGTTCCAGCTAATGTCTTTTAAAAGTCAATAGACATTGGGCTTAAAATTACATACTGCATTATAATAAAGTTAAGAATTGATGAAGTGAAATATGGGGTTTAACGTCCTACTCCGACTGGACTAAGACTAATGAAGATGGCTAAGAATATATAATAATGCATATGTGAGAGAATAATTTGTTCCCATGGCCGTACCGACAGAAATGGGTGCGTGACTAACGGTCAACTAACTGCCCACAAAAATTAATTTATATTTGATATCAGATTGTTACAAATCGACCATAGGTGTTCGGGTTCACTTTTAATGGTCATTTCAGGCGGACATAATGCTGACCAAATGGCCATAGAAAAGCCACGCTATTGATATTGGTAAAAGCAATCTGCACCCCATTACTTATAAGACCATATAGATCTATTCAGTGATCAGGGAATACAATAGAGTTTTTATAACATAGAGTAATATAACATATCATATTAAACTATAACCATTATCATACCCTGTACATCTACAAATCACTCATATCTAAATGACCATCATACATGACCAGATATAAAAAAAACTTATTATTTATAACAAATGTTTTATATTATTTGTACAACCCCCAAACCAAGGCGTGGGATACTATAGTTCACTAGAAGGAAAATTAATTAAATCGATTTAAAGATTATACACGTGTTTCTCTTCAACATTTGAACATTGATAATATAGCGTTTTTGATATTTTCATTAATCAAGACTTTTGGAGCAATGGCGTAGCATATTTTAAAAGGAACGACGCGGAAGGTCTTGTCAACAGATTACGTCAAATATTTTGAGACTATCTAACCCTCTGTATTTTCACGAGGGTATTTACCTCCTACCTTCACGCTGATACGTAACCCTCCCTATATTCACGCTTGATTGTTACACCCCTCCCCTCCCCTCTATGTTCCCTCTGGTATTAGCGATGGTATATAACCACCCTATCTTCACTCTTGAATGTAATCATCGCTCATATTCACTCTGGTATTCGCGATTGTATATAACCCTCCCTTAAATTCACTCTGGTATTCGCGATGGTATATAACCCTACCTTATATTCACCCTGGTATTCGCGATTGTATATAACCCTCTCTTATATTCACCCTGGTATTCGCGATGGTATATAACCCTCCCTTATATTCGCGGCGGTATTCGAGATGGTATATAACCCTACCTTATATTCACTCTGGTACTCGCGATGGTATATAACCCTCCCTTAAATTCACTCTGGTATTCGCGATGGTATATAACCCTACCTTATATTCACCCTGTATTCGAGATGGTATATAACCCTCCCTTATAATCACGATTGTATGTAACCCTACCTTATATTCACGATTGTATGTAACCCTACCTTATATTCACGATTGTATGTAACCCGTCTCTATATTCACGATTGAATGTAACCCGTCCCTATATTCACGGCGGTATGTAACCCTTTACTTCATATAGAGAGATGTAATTCTCTTTTAACATTTGGACCACCATAAAGATAGATAGATATTATTCTTTACCCCAGCAGGAGACTCGAGAATAAAATATATACAAGTCATATAGTTAGACATATCTCAGAAATACATCAATTTTACCAGCAATAAAACGAGGCAAAACATCTTAGCGTTACACTATGGTCAACTATATCCGACAAATATCGTAAAAACCAATAACACAATTCTAAACTGTTGGTGGATGAAGCAATCTGTACAACAATAAAACCAGATAACATCCAACGTCTGACACCAGTCCAATAATTATCACACGGTGGTCATATCAACATCGTAAAACTACAACAAATTGACGACAAATTTTGAATAAATCCTGGCACGCAGAAGCAATAGGACAGTTAATAGTCTATAAACGTGAACTGTCGTATATATTTACTACGGAATAATATATGTATGTTTATAATTCGCTGTCTACATGTGGAGTTTAGACATATCTCAATTTTGTATATTCTATATTGATTCAATGCTAGGATGTGGCTGTATGAGAAGGTATTATGTTATTTTTTTGAGATATAAACTTTGTTAGTCTTCCGTATCGTTATATTCCCGTTGCCACTTAAAGGTAATACATCATAATTTGCAAGTCATTGATTTTTTTTATTTTTGGAATGCATGTGATAATCATTTCATGATAATAGTGTACTGAAATTTATATGTATTGCTAAACCAGTAAATGTTTTATTTCACAGTATTACTGCATACTAAACTTAGTCCGCTTGAGAACATATACTAAGCTAGTTGGCCGACATTTGAAGTCCTATAGTCGAAAACACTAAGTGTACTTCGATAATTTTGTTTAACTGTTTATTCTGCTTCCATTTAATACAATTGAAAAAGTTTAGTCTTTATGTGTATGACAGATGAGAAAAGGTGTAGAACCACATTACAGAAGAGTATACTCATGTTTGGATATGGCGGTCATTTAGGGCAGAGATCTATTCTCGAAGAATGTAGCAGATGGATCTCAGTATGCAGAATGAATATTACTGGTGACATCACAATATCTCCAGTGACATCACAATATTCCTATTGACGTCATAATATCCACTAGTTCATAATATTCCCCGTGAATTCATAATATTCCCTGTGACTTCATAATATTCCTGGTAGGGCAATTGTATTCCTGGGGACATCTTTAGAACCAAGTGGAAGTACATATACGTGTATTTAAACTTAGTAAGCCATGTGAACATTGTATCGTATTGTGTGTAAACTGTAACAAGGTAGAAATATTAATAAAAGGTATATTTTAAATGAACTTACTGTAACAGCACCAAATATTAGTAGTAGTATGAGCAGTAGTAGTAGCGTCGACAACCTGAAAATAAAAATTAAGATTCGTGAATAATTTTATCAAAACGAATATAAACAATATTATCTAAGCTAGTTTAACATGTAAAGAATACCCGAATCCTTACATGTTATAACGACAGAGAAAAATATCTAAGACATTTAGTATGAACATTTTCTGATAAAGGCCGCATAATTCGCAGTTTAGTCCGCAACTTGTTGGAACAGTGGATAGGCCCTGAATCTTAACCCCATCCGCCATGACACAACAAAAAGATGACTACTTCTCTTAACTTTTATAGCAGCACCACGTAATTTCCTCCTCCGGAGAGCAACTAAAAGATATCTTCACCACAAGTTGTTTAAAAAGACATTTTTGGTTTTCTATGTCTGCAGCCATGTTTGATGGTGTTCTGTGAGCAAGAGGTCGTGTATTCCAGATCGTTCCTTGATGGTGATCCTAGTCATAGTGTCAACTACATAGGTTGTATATAAAACTTATATCATATATGTGATTTGTGAGAAAAGGGGACAATTGAATAAAATAAACGAAAACTATATGTCGAGTTTCTGTCAACATTGGATCATTCAATTTAATACAATAAATAGCACCGATAGACTGACTCACGGAGGCCCTTAACAGGAGTAAAAAAAACTTAAAGACATCATGCACTGGGTATTGTTGTAGACGAAGCGAGATACGAACACCGGGGATATGATGGATATACGTGGGTATTGTTGAAGTTTAGAAACGTGCTGGTATAATTGTATGAGGACCTATCTATAGTTCACAATATATTTGTTATCAAACAAGTATTACTACCAATCATAGACTTGTTGAAGCTAATTAAAAGATTGAAGAACACTGGTTGATTGAGAGGAGTTGGTCGAGGTCATTCTGTGTAGAAGGACTGTGATAAGAACCTCAATACCTTAGATAAACAAGGGATGAATCGTGGGTTTGTTAGGCCCGTGTTAAATATCTCTCAATGGACAAAAGACGAGTTTTGGGGGTTTTCGCTATGTAATGTTAGCTACATGATTGTTTGATGGTGCGTTAAGGGGCTCGTCTCAATGATTCCTCACACTTACTGGACGCCGTATTGCGCAAACATGTTTACACAATAGTTTGGCACTTACATGTACTTAGAGGCCCGTCTCATTGTGAAACCACCGCGATTTGGGACTCATCGTGTGAATGAAATCACCAGCGAATTGTATGATAGATAAACTATTAGATGACATCCCGACCACCAGCAGAGCGGAGCGGGGATTGAACATTTTAAACACGTCCAGAAAACTGTGCAATAGATAAAAGTTGAGAAGAATTTCTTGTTGAATACCGTGTGCTATTATTAAGATCTTACGTGCAAGCCAACGGGTAAACGGTACTCCTGGTTTCTGTCCCTTTCGAAGGACTAGGCGATGTCATTTTGCCAAGCCATTCGGGATACTGCCGATGGGCATACAGCGGGAATATTTGCCCGGATAACAATTACAACTGCCAAGGGTTCCTTTACTTACACGCTACGTATTTTAAAAAAAACACACTACAATGAACCCTTTTTATTGTATTTTCAATACGGTATATTATTGCAAAATACCATTGTGTTCAATGATACAATCTATAAATGACAAAGAAACCGCAACATGAATCATTTTAACTGTTTTTAGGTGGTTTATGTGAGAATGTAATCACTACATTTGTAAATCCAGTATCTACAAATCTTAGGGTAATAAGTAGTATTACGGAATTTCTACAAGATTTCTACTGGCTCTGCTCTATAATTACAACCAGTTTCATTCTTGTGGTATTTAACAACTAAATGTTTTCCAATGGACCCCAAAAAAAAGAAGAGGATTCGACAAAACGAAAGTATAAGTGATCACGCAAATTTAAATCATGAGCTGTGTTAAGAACAAGCAAGCAGTGTGTATTAAAGTAGCTAAGTCTCTAACTCAATATCATCCAAAATCTTCAACATTGAAAACACGATTTATTTGTCAAATTAAATCAACATTCATGCTATGATCTTACCGGAAAATGATGGGCTTTTGATATCCAATATTTAAGACAAAATAAACATTTTACCATTGGTACACGAATCGTGTACCATGATGCGCTTCAGCCCCAGTTGTATCAAGAGACTCAAGGGACGAGGCTAGACACATTGTACCAAATCAAACGGCGTATGTAGACGGGAATAACCAGACGCTAGAAATTTGCACTCGCTTGAGACTGCTGGCGTATTTCGCCGAACATAACTGATTTGAAATTGGAGTAAAAACGGAAATCATTGAATGTAAATCAGTTTATATACATTCATATTACAGTATTATATGTGTTGCGAACCACTTTTGTCAATTTCTAGGTCCCAAATATTAGCGATTTAGCTCCTTTAAATCGTATATGTTCAAGAAAGCATGCACTGAAAAATATCCCAACAAGTATTGTAACACACAAGGTTGGGCTATTCCTCTAAGTTTTTTAGGTGGTTGATTGGCCAAATGGTTAACGCGTGCGTGTTGTATTATAAGGTCAGTCATTGAATCAACTGGCGTGGTTTCTATTCCCCGGTTGTACGTGACAAGGAGTAGGGTCGCCTGTCCAACCTCGTGGGTTTTCTCCGGGTCCTCCGGTTTTTTTCCCATTGCTAAAGACCCCCACGCGAAAGCGAATTATTGAAATAAAATTGAACCATATGTTAGTCCCGAAATGACATAGTTGGTATCGAGTGGACTGGACGTTAATATCTCTCTCTCTCTCTCTCTCTCTCTCTCCCTCTCTCTCTCCCTTCATGAGTTTGTATGACCCTTAATCAGATCCTGTGTATATTTTAAAACTTGTAAAAATATTTGATAAGAGATGTGAAATAGGTCTACGTCAATACCAACCTTAATGTAACAATAATAATCACTGTAATATTTTATTATCCAGAAGCTGCCTTCACGAAAAACATTAAAATAACCAGCCACCTACTTCACCTGTCTTCAATGGTCCTCAGGTCTCAAGATGTGATTTTAGCTTGTTTAATCACCGACTGACTTCAATCTGAACTCTAATCGTCCCCGTGTACCGAGGGCCGCCGTATACAGTTAAAACTTTCTGTAACAATGATGGCAGTTCACCGCCTAAGAGCTATATATTTTAGATACTGTACTTACATTCACTAATTGTAGATGAAATCATACTTTGGTGAATTTAAGATGGTCGAGTTGGGTGTCTTGTGGTGTCGGGCTCTCATGACAAGCGAAACCCAGGTTGACAAATTCCTAGGATCTTGCTAGGATGCAACCCACACCAAACAAGAGATAAAGTAAGACCAGTAAATAATGATCTAAAGACTGCCTTTGGTGTAGCAAACGTTACCGTCTTTATCGAGTGGTCAGATTGGTATACCGTTATCGCAACTGTGCTGACATCAGCTTGTTTTTAAATCTAGCAGATCATAATAATTAACAGTAAACATAATGCTTGTGATTTTTAAATCTTCACAGTAGTGACTTTTAAATTCTGTGATCGACCAGAAGGAAAGGTGAACTAGGTGCACAAACAATAATCCCAAACCTGTACCTTTAATTAACTAAATATTCCAGACTTCAAAGACAGGCCAACCTTTCTTACCTGTCCGCGTTGTAGTAGATTTCTATTATATCTGTATTTGCTTAGGCCGCAGAGAAGAGATGACCGTCGATACAATACAATAACCATACCGCCAGATCATTACCAAGACCATGGCACGACCCTCGACCTCACAACTTAAACTAACAAGATGCAATTAATTCCTCCTTGCTGAAATATTTCGTTTATCTCTTGAACCTATTGTTAATTTATCTGTTAATGCGCACAGGGGGTCATTCAAGATACAGCGCTGAATCTGAACATAACCTGGCCGTGTAGTAGCCTCCAAAACATAACGGGGGCATTACTCAATCCAAATGGACCAAAAAATAAAATCCACCAAATAAGTCTATTTTCTGGGATTTTATCAATTAGTCCAATGCATCAATACTTATGGTGGAAGTCTTGATAAAAATGTTTGTTAAACCTGCTTTAGAAGAGAGTCTTATTAATTAGTACAAGCAATACATGTGAGGATGGTCTAGAGACAAAATGTTCGTTAAACCTACCACAGAAGGAATTAAGACTTCTGCAATAGAAAGAATGATTCTCTTTAATCGTAAACATGGCGATGAAGGAGCGATAGTTCTGGGTATGTTTACCAGTCAGTTACTAGCTACACATCGATGTCAAAATGTCTATATATCCTCCCAATTGTTTGACAGCCTTTATTATTTCTAGCATACTTCGTCGAATGTTTTAAATAACCTCGGAACCCGATCAAATATACAACGAAATTAGTGGCATGGCGCGTCAAATTCTAATAAAACACAAACTACCAGCTATGTCAAGAGAGTCTGAGTCAAAACTTTGTTTTGGTTACAATTTGTACGACTAAGACACTGTCTAGTCCTTTGTCAACTTTTATTTGATTTGTCGAATTATCACGTTTTGTTTTTAGCCCACCAAGAAGTTGTCAAGACAAAAAGTTCGGTCAAATCATGTTTAAGAAGGTGATGTAAGCTTAGATGTGGGTAAACACTGCTAACTAAACTTTGACTTAATATGAGTCATTTTTCCTCTTACAGCAACAGCTATAACTTCTCCTAAATATATCATTTCTTGTTTCCATTTATATCCAAAGTTTTTACACGTGAACAAAAAACAAAATTCAAGGCCATTAAAGGCATTTGTGTGATGGGTTGACATTATACGAACTTCATTGGTAAAATTAAGCATAGTAGAATGCGTCTCTCCATGTGGTTGAACAATAATATAAGAATTTCTTAAAATTAGTGAGAGAGAGAAGTGGAGTTGAAGTCCACTCGACACAAACTAGGTCATTCCGGGACTAACATATGGTTCGTTTTAATTTCAATAATTCGCTTGTGCGTAGAGGTCTTTAGCAGTGGGAGGAAACCGGAGGATCCGGAGAAAAAAACCATGATGTTGGATAGGCGACCCTA